ATTTTGTTAAATACACTGCATTTCCTCTCTTCTTTGTGAGGTTGGCCCAAGATTATGCAGTGTTTCGTTCTGTTGTGCACAGGGTCACTATGAGTTGGTATAGACTCGATGGCACCTAACAACAACAATAACTAAATAGCAAATAACATAGTATTGAAGGATTATAACATTACTACCTTTTAAAAAACAGAACCAAGGACTTCCAGCAAAATGGCGGGTTAGACAGACACATTACATGGACCCTCTACAATAAAGGTAAGAGACACCAAATGAAACAGACACAGGTGAAAATTCTGGGACCTGAAACTTCAGAGGAAAGGTTAGAAAAGTAGGCTGAGTGCTTGCTGGGAGGAGAAGCTGAGCAGGGACAACAAGAAAAGGAGACTGAGGCATGAACAGCTGGCCAGACTCAGCGCAGCCATCTTGTGAGCAGCTTTAGCAACAGAAGACCTGGCAGAGAAGTCACACAGGCGAAGGGAAAGGCATGATTCCTTCTTTTTCCCCACACTCCCCTGTTGACCAGAGGTGTGGCCAGCTCCCACTTTCATTCACCTTGGGCATGGACACCCTGATCTCCGGGAATTTGGTGCCACATGGTTAGGAACCACTTCAGTGTGTGTATGTGGGGGGTGGGGGGTAGGAGGGGCGTGCAACTGCATCACTTTGATGCCTGGATTCCAGTGGAACTGGCTCTAGACCTACAGAACCAGCAGAGCCACTAGACCAACACTTCACCAGTCACTCTGCCCCCAACTGTTCTATGGACCTAGCAGACACTGAAACCAGCTCCATCAAGGGCCTCCATGAACTACTTATGGGTTGAGTGTACTGAACACTGATATACTGATGCCAATAGAAACTCTACCTAGGGCCAGGAACTCAGCTGTCACATTCCTCCCACATTTCTTCTTGGCTTGCAGGAAATCCCCAGAGTATTCTCCTCTCTAGGTCTAAGAGCTGCACTGTTTTTTATGGTTTGGTCCTTTTTTAGCATTATTTTGTTTATTGGTTTTCCTCCTTCTCTTTCCATTCCCTTGACTTTTATTCTTTCTGTCTTCACTTTTATCTTTCCTTCTTTTCTTCTGCTTCTCATTTCCCCTCTTCTTTTTTCTCCCTTTTGATCTTTCTTTAGTACTCTCTGCTCTCTCTTTTCATCTCTCCTCTCCCTGGTTTCCCTAAATTTTTCTTTTATTTCCTCTCTTATTTTTATCTTCTGTAGCTCCATTTTCCTGTCCCTATTTTCTCTTTTTATTTATTCTTAACTTCTTCAATTTTTCACTCTTTTTTTTCTTCCATAGCTCTATTTCCCTGTTCATCTTTTATCTTTATAATTATTATATTCTTTGTTCTGGACGCTACCTACTTTATTCCTTTTTTTTTTTTTTTTTGCTATTTTCTCTTTTCATTGTTGATTACTTGTTTGTTTATTCTGCTTTGTTTTCTTGTGTGTGGGAGGAAGGAGGGGTTTTCTCTTAACTACCAGACAGGAGACAGCAACTGTGCCCACACATTCTAGCTAAAACTGTACCCTCTGCAGCTCCACCCACTGGGCAAGAGCTAATACCAACTCCTATGCCACCTGATCAATGGCAGACAGCAGCCGACACCAGCCACACCCACCCTAAACTGAGGTGCACAAACAACTAACAAGTGTACATTCTTCCATTCTCTAACTGCACTCACAGGATACAGTTGGTGAGCACCTAAGAACACATCAACACAGAACCACTAATTAAATACAAATGCAACAACCCCACAATGCTCCAAAGACATCAAACAATTTTAGCTCACATGAAGAAACAAGAGAGAATGGCTCAAACAAATGACGAAGATATAAAACCAGTAAACATTTATGAGGAAGAAAAGGAAATTAAACTAACTGAAAGAGAATTTTTAAAAAATGATATTTAGATATCTTACAAGAATTGGCATAAATATTGAGGAGGATAAAAGGAGATCACAGAAAAAAACTCTACGAAAATTCAGGAGAATGCTACAAGAACAAACAGACAAAAGAAATGCAAATTTTGAAACACTACAAAGCCTGCAATTAGAAATCTAATTGACTAATACTAAGTTTTCAGAAATGGACAATACACTGAAAGAGGAAAGGAGTAGATTCAAAGCAATAAATACTAGAATTAGTGAGCTTGAAGATGCTCTCAATATTAGCATGCTAGAAGAACTGCTAGTGTGGCACTGTAGGATCAGCACTGGACTTTGAAGTACAAGCTTGGCAGCTCAAAGCCACTAGCGCCTCCTCAGAAACCCTATGCAGGATCTCTGTGAGTTGGAACTCAGTTGATAGCACTTAGCAACAACAGAACAACATTAGAACAATCAGAAAAAAATACGAGAAAATACAGAGAAAGCCTAAGTATTATGTGAAGCACCATGAAAAGGAACAACTTATAGGTTACAGGAATTCCAGAACAGGAAGAAACAATAAAAAGCACAGAGAAAACTGTTGGAGAGTTGCTGGAAGAAAACTTCCCTAACATGAAAGAACAGAAGATAAATATACAGGAAGCTGGATGAACCCCCAAACAGGATAGATCCCTAAAGAAAATCACCAAGACATACCATAATCAAACTTTCCAAAACCAAAGACAAGGAAAGAACCCCAAGAGCTGCTCAGTAAAAATGAAATGTTGCCTGCAAAGGTAAACCACAGGACTAAGTTTCTCAGCAGAAACTATGTGGGCAAGAAGGCAATGGGATGACACACACATAAAGCTAAGAAAAAAAATTGCCAATCAAGAATCATATACCCAGCAAAGCTGTCCCTTAAATATGACAGCAAAATTAGGATATTTCCTGATAAACTGAAATTAAAGGAATTTGTAATGACCAGAGTAAATTTACAAAAAATACTAAATGATCTTCTTTCGACTGAGAACCAACTACAGCATATAACAACCTAAGATTACCATACATGACAACACCACCCAGAACTCAATCCAGATATAGGAAGTATTTAAAGTAAAACAAACCTACAAGACTGAAAATGGGGAACCAGAGATATCAATTTATAATGAAGCTAACTATAAAGCAAAAGGATAAAACAGTGTAGATACAGGACTTCCAAACTGCTAGGAAACCAAGTATATTTCAAGATAAATCAGACTATTTTAAATTGTGAAAATAAATTACATGGTAACTTCAAAGCAAGTTAATACACCTGCACATCAAAATTAAAAAAAAAAAAAAAAATCAAGGAAAACCAAAAAGATTTATCAAACATTAACACAACAGAAATGCAGATAAACCCACACACAAAAAAACCATGAAATCAGCACAGAAAATATTGTGGAACAAAGAAACCAGCCACACCACAAAAAGCTCACAGCAAAATGAAAGCAATCGATTCATACCTATCAAGAATAACACTGAAAATAAATGGATTAAATGTACCAGTCAAGAGACAGAGAGAGCAGAATGGATAGGATAAAAAAGATGCTTCAATATGCTATCTACAAAAGAAACATCAAAAAGATAGAGACAGCCTAAACAACCATCAACAGAAGAATGGTTACACAAACTTTGATATACAATGGAATATTATGCAAGGTTGAAAAGTAACAACAAATCTGTGAAACACCTTACAATATGGACGAACCTAGGGAACATTATGCTGAGTGAAATTTGTTGAAAATATGTTGAAATTAGTGAAATTGAAACAAGGACAAATATCATATGAGCCAATGTTATAAAAATTTAAGAAAAGGTTTTCTTAAAAAAATAATCAATGATGGGGGAAGGAGGGTGTAATTATTCATGGGCTAGAGGGTAGAACATGTTAACAATGGGTGACAGGACAGACAATATACAATAAGAGGGAGGTTTCACAGTAAAGAAGAAGGTAGTGGGAGACACAGGAAGGAACATAATAATTAAAGTGACTAGAGGTAAATACTGTTAACTGTTGGTACATGGAGGAGGCTGAAATCATTGTAATAAAGAAAAATACATGATTTGATGAATGTAGAACTGGTGATCTGCTCTATAAATCTACACTCAATTCACAATAAAAAGGTTGGGGAAAAAAAGAGGGCAAACTCTACGCCATATTTTATAGAAGCAACACCATTAAAAGCTCCGTAACACTATTTGATATTAAAGCTGCATAGCACAATGTAGAATTAACACTGTGACAAAATGTTTACAAGTTTCAACTACATTTACATACATATAATGTTAAGTGATACAACAGTATTCTAAACACAGGTTATTGATATTTTTACTTAGATTCATATATCAATTTTTACCCAATTGACTTTATTCTCAAATTTTTTTGTAAATCGCTGGGCTGTATGTTTGTTAATGAGTTGTGTAGCCCAATATACAATGTTCTAATTTTATTTTCATGCATTTAGCACAGTTTTAAAGTATAAGTAAAAATATTCAACTAACAGAAAACATATTTTCTTTCCTACTCTTTCAAATCAAGCCTTTGTTGCATTGTGTACTTAAAAATAATAAAGTACTTAAACATGATTGTCCTTACAATTATATTTGATTCTATATATGAAAGTTGAACTACTTTTGAAATTAATTTCATGAACACTATAAGTCAAACCTCCCAAAACATTACCTTTTCTTAAAAATTATTAATTAGTTGTTTCTACATTTGAAATTTTTTCACATAGATTTCTTAGACGTACCTAAGACAGTCGCTTCTTTGACAATGAAATGTACAAAATAAATGGCATGTCAACAAGTAAATTAGCATTCCCTTTCTGACCAGATGGGTCATGTATCCTTTTCAAAACCTTGGTCTCATGATACAAAATAATAATAATTTAAAAGACCTCATTAAATGATCCATATATTGACATAACCTCTATAAAGACACACATAGTGTTTTAATTGATTCCTTGAATCCATTAAGTGGAATATTAAACTCATGCCTCTAAATTATAACAGAATATTTACTTTAATTAATAATAAATTTTCTTTAGGATATTGTAAAACAAGTAAGTTAAATCATGTTTACTTACCAAAAAACTTCCAAAGGCTGAATTAAATATTGCAGCTGCCTAAAATGAAAATAAATGGAGGGAGAAAAAAATTCATTAAAAGCAATAAGAATAGGAAAAGCAAAGATTGGCATTCTCCATTCCCCCTCTATTTAAAACTTTGCAACACTGATTCCATTAAGTAAAGTTGGTCAATGCTTACAAAAATTGCCACTGGCCTATAGTTTACTAAGATAGATGAGCTGCAACTTAAGAATTCCTAAGTGATGGGTTTCAAAAGTAAGCAGAAAGGCTGCCATGAAAGGTTTTGAACTTATATGACAGTACCAAAAGAATCATCACCAAACTTGCTGTTATTGATTTTGTTACAATCAGAGGTTGATTTATTAATCAAAAAGGAAAGTTCACGCTCCTGGGAGTAGAAAAAGCAGCACTAAAAGGCAAATATTCAATACAGCCTCTCAGTGAACGTAGGTGAAATCTGATGTTCCTATATACCACACATTAGAAACAGGAGCAATAACACTAGATAGGTACGCTATTTGCTATTCTGTTCATTCTAAAGTCAAAACAAGCAAGCAAAACTTAAATATGGTGTTCATGATTCAAAGAAGAAATATGTGACTTGCTTACCCAAATATCCAGGGATTATACAGTAGATGTAATATAGTTCTTAACTTTAAATCAATCAGTATATTCTCTCAAACTACCCTTGAATCCTGAAAGCTACCCTTAAATCCAAAAGGATAAAACCTATTCATATACAATCCAACTGATGAAAGAAAAGAAAAGTGAGATTTTAAAAAGAAAGAAAAAAGAAATGGACAAAAAGTAAAAGGAGGGGTAAAGAAAACTTATTTACATGTCCTGTAGATGCAGAGCAGAATGAAAATTAATCATCATGGACATTATCAACTACACGGTAGAAAGAAAAAGATGTCAGTTTGGTAAGTTTGAATCAAGTCCAAAGCCAGGCTAAGAGCTGTAGCTGAAAATGCCTTCTGCTCCAGAAGAGGATGCAATGAGAGTGAATAGGTAATGAGATCCTTGGCTCCAGAGAGCTTAGCTTTCCTATTCAAGTTCATAATTAATTCAAAGCTTTGATAATTTCATTAGATTTCTCCTTTGCTGGCCCTATCAATAAAAGATGGCACTGGACCACAGTTCCTCTGTGGCATAAACACAGGCACAGACACAGACCAGGGAAACCTTTGCTTCCTGACAGGGACGGACAACAGCATATGGTGTTCCGTGTTGTGCAGAGAACAGTGAAAGAAAGAAAAGAAAAAAAGATTCAGCTAAATAAAACATTAAAGATGGAAACTGTAAACTATAGCACCATATTTAACACATCTTCCTGGAATGCTATTATGGAACATTCCAGAAAAAAAGCCTTATTTTTAGAGTAAACATAAAATAAAAAGGTATAAATAAATGAGTTTTGGTACCATCAACAGACAATACTACCTTCCACCCTACAAAAATGCACTTTCCCCACAATTTTTACTGATTAACATAGATTATCTCCCTTCTTAGTAAAGGAAGGCGGTTTCCCTTATTAAGTTCTCTCTTTTAAAGTTCTTTCTTTCAGTCTTTCACCAACTTTACAGCACTAACCTACTAGTGCTGTCTAACATTTATGGAAATAAATAGTGAATTATTTGATGCACAGATTCAGAAATCAAAGTGAAATACAGACAATTAATCATCAGATCTAATTACCATACTCCTTCCTGCTCTTTTTAACCTGAACACAAGCAATATGCTTTACGTGGATTGGCTGTGCTCCTGCACCTCACAAACAACAGTGATGGCAGTGATGACCTGCCTTAGGTGCCCATCGATGCTTCAGGCCCACCGTATCAGCATAGCCTTTATCCTTAGTTGTGTTTCTGGCAGTTGTGATGACTCTAAACTCACTCACCTAAGCTACCACTTGGTCTACCTTCACAATGATATCTGGCAATATTTTTGAGAAGGCTAGCTCTGTGTACTCTGAGTACTCTGCAGAACACTGTGAAATGTGGAACTGAATCAAAGCTCTTGAGTGCTGTAGAATCAAGCAATAGATAACTGAGCTAATAGTTGGCTCAAGTCTGCAATTATTTCTAGAGTTCTGAAGAACAACAAGTATTTGAAAAATTTAAATGATAATTTAAAAGACATGCATGTTTTCTGACTTAGATGGAATTTCCAGTTCCTTACTATGATGTAAAAGGACTGCCATGAACAGGTCTCTGTCCATTCCAATCCTTGCCTCAAATTTTATATTTCTTATAACACTAAGCTATTTGTGTATCCCTGAACTCATCGTGCTGTCTCTATCTCTTTGCTCTCTGGCCTAGAATGTCCTTCTCTCTTCCTCTACCTAGATTACACTAATTCGTCCTTAGTGACTAGGCTCACCCATCGCCGTTCTGAGTTTTCGATTATGCCCTCACAATACACACGTTGGTACATGCATCACTCTTACACGTAGATTCAGCGTCTCCACACCAGCTCCCAAAACATCTTGAGCATACCTCTGACAAGGTACTTGTCTGTTGAATGCCCTCAAGTCCTTTCTGAGTCATATTGACCCTGCATAAGCTTTCCAAAGAGCAGTTGGTGGGTTTGAAATGCTGACCTTTCAGTTAGCAATGATTATCCTATAGCATATTGAACTGAAATGACCGATTCACATGCCTGGCTGCCCCTATCACATTCAAGATTTTCTAAGGGCGAACTCTCATGAAGTTAATTCTAAGCAGTTACATGTTCACTAACTGAGTTGCTGAAATATGAAAGGGTTTCAAAGAATTCGTGGGAAATTTCTTAAAAATTATCTTCTAATTCCATTTTGCCATGAACTTTTTGAAGTCCCCTCATAAGTAAGATTTCCAAGGATGTCTGAAACCTATGTCCCCTAAAAAGCTAGTTGGACAGGATCCTGAGGTTGGATCTAGCAATTGGCACCATACCAAGTATTAACAATGACACCAGATTTAGACTTCATTTGTTTCACCTGGTACCCAATATAAGAATCTCTTTCACAGTACCTAAAATGCCTGAATTGTCCTGTTATGGTGTTGATATGTTATTAGGTGCCCTTAAGTTAGTTCTAACTCATAGCAACCCTAAGCACAACAAAATGAAACACTGCCCAGACCTGCACGATCCTCATAATCATTGCAATATTTGAGCCCATTGCTGCAACTATTATGGCAATTCATTTCATTGAGGGTCTTCCTCTTTTTTTGCTGCCCCTCTACTTTACAAAACATGGTGTTCTTCTCTAGACGCTGGTGGCTCCAAATAGCATGCTCAAAGTACTTCAAGTCTCATCATATTCACTTCTAAGGAGCATTCTCGCTGTACTTCTTCCAAGACAGATTTGTTTATTCTTCTGATTGTACTTCTTAAATGCTGTTGAGTAAGTTCCAACTCATAGTAACCCGAGATAAAGTTTCCAAAGAGCAGCTGGTGAGTTTGAACCACCAACCTTGTGGTTCAAACCAAGCTTGCGCTTATCGTACAGAGCCAGCATTATTCTTTGCCAACACCATAATTGAGATGCATCAATTCTCCATTCTTCCTTAGTCATTATCCAGGTTCTACGTGCATATAAGGAGACTGAAAATACTATGGCTTGGGTCAGACCTTAGTTTTCAAAGTGGCATATTTACTTTTTCACACTTTAAAGAGGTCTTTTGCAGCATTTCTTACCAATGTAATATGTCGTTTGATTTCTTGACAGCTGCTTCCATGGACATTGATTATGGATCCAAGTAAAATGAAATCCTTGACAACTTCAATCATTTTTCTGATTATCATGATGTTGTGAATGAGTCCAGTTATAAGGACTTTTGGTTTCTTTATACTGAGGTGCAATATAACTGTAGGCTATAGTTTTTGATCTTCATTAGTAAGTACTTCAAGTCCTATTTTCTTTCAGCAAGCAAGACTATAAATTTGCATACTGCAAATTGTTAATGAGCCTTCTTCAATCTGATGCCAAGTTCCTCTTAACATAGAGCGACTTCTCAAATTATTTGTTCAGAATACACACTTTAAAAGTATGGCGATACGCTCTGATTGGTGACCACATTTGTCACC